CGCGTGTACTGCACAGAAGTCCGCTCTGTTCTACTGTATGGCTGTGAAACATGGCCATTGAAAGTGGAAGATATAAAAAGGCTTCAAGTGTTTGACCACCGTTGCCTTCGTAGTATAGGGCGTATTCCGTGGTGTCACCATGTGAGTAACGCTGAAGTCAGGCTTAGAGTTTCAGGGAGAAGAGGTAAGTCAGTTGACGAGGTTATGAACCTTCATCGACTGAGATGGTTGGGACACGTACTACGTATGCCTAGTCACCGATTGCCTTGTCACACAATGGACATAGCGACAGACCCCCCAACACTAGGAGAAGTCGAGAAAGCTATAAGTAACCTGAAACGAGGAAGGGCAACAGGACCAGACGGACTACCTGCTGAGGTATACAAGAATGGTGGTAGAGTGCTCTTAGTCAGGTTAACGGAAGTGTTAGCCAGTATATGGGAATCAAATACGATCCCCTCTGACTGGTCTAAGTCACTCACTATCCCAGTCTTCAAGAAAGGCGAGAAGTCCTCTTGTGATAACCACAGAGGAATCAGCCTGACGAACATAATATCCAAAATCCTAGGTTCTATAACTCTCCGACGCCTGAGTGGAGCTCGGGAACAGCCATCCCGAGAAAGCCAGGCAGGCAGGCTTTAGACCTGGCCGCGGGTGTATCGACCAAATATTCACGCTGCGCCAGGTCCTGGAACATAGGCATGCTTACAGACACCCGACAATAGCTGTATTTCTCGACCTGAAGGCGGCATTTGACTCCGTTGATCGAGAAGTCTTATGGCAATGTCTGTCACTGAAAGGCGTGCCTAGTAAGTACATCACCTTATTGAAAGCTCTCTACTCGAACACTTGTGGGTGTGTTAGAGCCTATGGCGAGTTGTCCAGGGGGTTATACTCATCAAGTGGTGTCCGTCAAGGATGCCCACTATCCCCATTCTTATTTAATTTTATCATAGATATTCTTATGGAGGTTTCCCTCTCGTCACCTAATTACACAAACGTTGACCCAATCACAGGTGAATTTTCTTTAGATCTAGAATATGCAGATGACATAGTCCTGTTAGGTGAAGACGCTGACAAGATGCAGAGTCTTCTGAACACTTTGAGTGGGAATTTGAGAATGTTTGGGATACGATTTTCACCACCCAAATGCAAATTTTTGCTCCAAGACTGGTCTTCAGCGGTACTGCGGCTAACAATAGAGAGTGAAGTGGTTGAGTGTGTTGATCACTTCACTTACCTGGGAAGTAGGATCAACCCTGATGGGTTAGTTGCCGATGAGATTTCGGCACGGATACAAAATGCCCGATTGGCTTTTGCCAATTTGCGCCACCTATGGCGCCGCCGTGATATCCGTTTATCTATTAAGGGTCGCGTGTACTGCACAGAAGTCCGCTCTGTTCTACTGTATGGCTGTGAAACATGGCCATTGAAAGTGGAAGATATAAAAAGGCTTCAAGTGTTTGACCACCGTTGCCTTCGTAGTATAGGGCGTATTCCGTGGTGTCACCATGTGAGTAACGCTGAAGTCAGGCTTAGAGTTTCAGGGAGAAGAGGTAAGTCAGTTGACGAGGTTATGAACCTTCATCGACTGAGATGGTTGGGATATGTGTTACATATGCCTAGTCGCGGATTGACTCATCATACAATGTTATCCGAATAGGTTGAGGCTCGAAAATGGCTCGAGGCTACCAGGTAAAACATCGCATCAATGCATAAACTCTTTGACTGTTGGTTTGAGCCATGTGGGGAGATGTAGACTGTGTGGTTGGGGTTCGCGGGACAAGAGGAACCAGTAGTTGGAGACTGTAGGTGATCACATGGCTGAAATCTGATGTCAGTGGCGCAGATGTATACATACATTATCCTTATCTTAACGCTATACCGAATCTCACCATTTTCTCATTCTTTTCTCTGGTTTAGTACTCAATATTTTCTTTTCTTCACCTTCCACTTCACTGCCTTTTTATTGATGTACTGATATATGAGCTGTGGTAACCTGGATCGTTACGCAGTAATGCCTGGTCCTATGTTGATTTGGATGGATGCATGGATAATATCGGTGCTAAGTAGCTATAGAGTTTATTTTGATTTATTCCTAAACGCAAATTGTGAGTTCAGATATCACCTGTTAGTTTCGTATCTATGCTCATATTTTCTGTCATTATAACACTTTTATACTTCTTGAGAAAACTCAGTATGTAGTTCACTAGAATGTCTTTCAGCAGTTTATAGTATCCCTTATTGATAAGCTTACACAGGAATATACTAGGAGTATGAGCCCCTACTTATATTGCGTGTTCTAGAAATCTTTTCCGTTTTATTATCAGTAGTTTCTGGCACTCAGCTCAGTGTTTTTATATGTTTCTACTCATTTTTTCAATGACTTTCTTCGTTCCACGCATTTGATTTTATTTTATTCAATCATTTTCAAAGTTAGTACCTTCGGTTTGCTTATTAGTTGTCTTTTTATTTGTATACGACATTTCTCTTTCTGGTTCATGTCTGACGTTTCTTATTCTTCGCATCTTCTCACTACTTTCTTCTAATCCCAGTTACTTGTTTTGAGGGTAGCATATTAACACAATGGGGATGTGACCCAATGATATGAGCACTTGATTTTCGACATTTACATTTCAGGTCCAGTCTCACTCCAACTACTTCGATCTGGGCAATTAGGTGGTAACATAAGCTCTGTTACAAAAGCGTGACTCATAGCCTCATTCGTAAATATGTACCGAGTGGAGTTGCATTAATTTGTTATAAACATGGAGAACCGTTCATTTAGCAAATGCATCTCCATTTTTAATAAGTTTATGACTGAGATCAACGTGACCAACGAAATTTACAAGTTTATAGGTTCTATAATTATGCACCGCTAATATGAAACTCAAAAATGTAGAACTGGCAAAAGTCAAACAGATATCACACCTGGCTAGTGGTTACTATTGCTGGAAATCAGCTGCAGTGGCGCAAGTTGGTTCACCTTTCTACATCTTCAAAAGTTTGAATATTTCCTCTAATCAGTTTGTATTTTTATTTCTCCTATCTTCCACTTCTGTCCACTCTGCTATTGTTCTTTTTCTATCGACTTCTTTTTGTACTGCTGTGAAATTTGTACAGCCTTATACCAATGCACTTCTGCTCCAGGTTCCTCGTTGATCTCGGGGTAGTATTCATAACGAACTGACATCAGTTGTAGCACCACTGAAAACCTGAGAGTACCCGACAGAAGTTTCTTCTTGGTTTCAGACTCAAAAGTGCGCACTGACTAACTCGTTGGGGGTCGAGCGCAGTATCATCAGGTTTTTTGGCGAACATGCTACCTTTCAGCTGCTAAGTTTAGATCTGGTGATTCGCATTCAACTGCTTCTGTCAATTCGCAATATAGCGCCTTTAATTATCGAATTCGCTCACACCCACAGGTCACAGCTTTTGACTAGAACTTGGGGTAGTTCATCTCGAAGCATGTCACTGGTGGAAAATAGTTTAGTGTGGGGGGTTTCTGGGAATATGTAGGACATTGGATGCAACTTAGTGACTGAATAATAATGTGTTCGACATGAGACACGGTCCTGGGCTCAATCCATGACTGGGTCGTGGGCACGTACTGCTGAGGAGTCCCACACTAGAACGAAGCAGCTTTCCAATACCCCCAGGTTTTCATGGGTTCTCCAACTGGTCTCAATTTTTGATAAACACGACACTGAAATAAATCGATCCTCATAGACGTCTAAATTGTATGTTTTGATTTATCTACGCGTGTTAACATCCTGTCCATTTGTTCAGTTGCCGTAGTTGGAGACCATGAATGGTATAACCCAAACCTGGTCACTGTGATAGGCTTTTTCTTCTTCTTACTGGTTTTATTTGTCTTTTCTCCACCTGTATTATCTTTCTATTCATGATTTCCCCCGCCTGCATTACCACGAAGTGTCTGTTGAACTCTCGGATACAAAAAGTTCGTTTGCCATTTCCCAACTTGCGTCATCTGTGGCGCAGACTGGCGAGACACCCGACTGTCTATCAAAATACGAGTATATTGCTCTGCAGTTCATTCTGTTCTGTTGTACGGCTGTGAGAAATGGCTGTTAAAAGTAGAAGGCATGGAGCGATTATAGGATCTTGATGACATATGCCTTCGTAGTATTGCTCGGATGTGGTGGGATCATCACATAAGGAATGCCGAAGTGACGCGAAGGTTACTAGGCCAGACAGGCAAGTCGATTGATGAGGTTGTGAATCTCCATCGGCTGAGGTAGCTTGTATATGTGTTGGGCATGCTCAGACATCGCCTATCTCAAGGTGTCATGCTGGTGGAAGTTGGGGGCGGCCAGTCCAAGATGTAGCACCGGTGATGAAGTCTGTGACTTTGTCTGAGTCGTGTTGAGAGATGTAAACTGTCTGGCTGGGCTCCCTGAGACTATAGGATTCATTGGTTGAGGACTGTTGGTGACATCTCTGAAATTGGTCACAATGTCATAGATGTATTCACTGTTTTTTGTCTTCGAAAACCTGAATACTCGCATTTATCTTTATCTTCAAATTGCTTGTTGTCTCATACACCTTTGTCCAGTTTGATATCAATCTTTTCCTATCCAGTTGTTCTTTGTATGCTACTGTGAAGTGTAGTAAGTTGAGCCAATGTACCTGTGTGCAAGGTTCTGCGTTGATTTTGTCAGTCAGTCTGCTGAATTCAATGGAATCACATGACCGGTGTTATGCTGTTGCGTCGGTCTATCTCCTTTTCATAAGTATTTACTCATTTTAATTGAGTCCTCGTCAACCTATTATTGCATATATTATACAGTTGGATCATCAATAGACTCTGATTCATTCTAACTAGTAGGTATTTATGATTAGAAATACATGTAGTAAAATATTTTCACTTACTAGGAAATGTTTTTTGTTCCTTTCGCCAATTCCCGTTTCTTCAGTCTGTTTTCATAATATTATTTATTATGTTTATTTATCTCATTTATTTTATGTATTTATTGAAGGGTCACTTGTGTAAGCAAATTGAGGAGATTGATAAGAAGGCTAAATTTCGTGTCGATAAATGGGAACGTCGTGCTGTAAGTCAAAGTCTGTCAAAATTCGATTGGTTATTTCATGTTTTCACATATAATGATAATAATTACTAGTGTCTAGTTGTGTAATAGTATAGGGGTTTCAGATATCCCATTGCATGTTTTTCCCTTCGTCATCTGGACTGACAAAACAGAAGTTCTAGATTGTTATTTTTTAAGCAGTTCGTCATATCGAGTATGAAATAATCATGTTTTGGTCCGGTCAAGCTTTACTTCCACTCTTTTTTTATCTCCTTTTTGTCAATATTAAGCGTCAATGTAGACTGTTATTTGGCATACTCAACACATGATCTAACCACCTCAAGTGATGAAGGTTTATGTTATAGTATGCAATAAGATTGCACAGATCCATATAAGAGGCCTGAAATGCCTGAAGCCTTTCACAACCAATCGTGTTGTTTTGAGGCTTCTAGAAAAAGCACGTGAACCTACGTGCGTATACAGCAGACCAGTTGAAGAAGCGAAATCAATAAAATATGCTTTTCCAGAAGGGCTTAGAAATAGTCAGTGTCATTGAAAATCTATATATACCATAGTGTTTTGTGCATATTTTGGGTTACTGCCTTTTCATGTTTACCGTGGAAATGAGCGACCATCAAGGATTGAGCCTGAAGGTTATTGTTCAAACGTCCACTCTCATATCTATAACGAGGGATATATCAGTTCATAACCTTATCGATTGGTTCGCCTTACTTACTTAGTACTCTACCCCCTAACCTCGCCATCGCTCATGTGGTGACTCCACCACTCTACTATGAAGACGCTCGTGATCGAAAATTGCAATCTCTTTATATCTCGTACATTCATGGACCATATCTGACTTCCATATAATAGGATAGAGCTAAGTGCCACACTGTATAGCGAGTATAGTACACTTTAAAAACATATCCTGCCAGTACAAATTTCTCTTAAACTGATCGTATTTGTGGTTAGTTACTTTACGAGTCTTTATCACATATTGGGGTTGTTTGTTTTAGACTGCTCTAGCTTATCCACCAAACACTTCTTGGAAATACCAATCGATGAAAGTAGATAAAGCTGTCAAGTAGTGATATGAAGTGTCCACGTTATGTTCACGATTTCGAAGTTAGTTCATCGGGTTGGGCACCCGACGGTCATCCAGAAGGTTGCTGATTATAAGCAATTTTCATGTGATCCGATAGCATATATTTAGCCATGGCATGGTAAATGTTACTCAAATTCGGTTTAATACACAGACATGCGCAAAGTTGGTTGTTTTTCTCAATTTCGTTAACGGTTTTATGGGGACTATGATAGACAGTTTTCAAGGAAGGTATCAGATCACAACAACAACTCAATGCATGGGAATGGATTTGTTTCCATAGTTTCCTCTCATGAATATTAGGTGACAGGCTAAACACCTGATCGTGTAGAAAGTCCACGACATTTGAAAAGGTGTCTTGTCGTCATATTTACGTAATGCCGTGTCGATGAACTGACTTAAATAACCATCTACAATTTTGCTGTGAAAATCACTTGTTCCCGACCAGCACTAATTTCATGTATAATGAGGAAAAATATCCCACTAAGCGGCTGCCAACATCAAGCTGTCGATGACACACCATATCTCTATAAGTCATCTCTGGAAAACACATTTGCGGGGAGCACGTCTTCTTGGATGAGCACATGACACTAACGATTATATTTCTCGCTCAGTTGATAAATGGAAATATCATAACTTGTATTGAAGAACGAAGTAACTGAGCATTTGTGTGAATACTGTAGCAACTTTCATCTTCATGAGGTTCAGTGTAATATTCAGTTTATTTGGAATTGCTTTGGCTAACATAATATCCAAGAATAAGGGGTGTACAATGTGCAAGGAACCTTCAAAATAAAGTTGAAAGCCTGGAAAGAAGTTGGTGATAGACCACAGTTGAAGTTCAACACCCAGAACAGAAAGTGAACTGAAGGACGAAACTACAAAGAATCTTCACGTCAGCCATCAAGACGAAATGGGAGATATCGAGCAACATCCCTGAAGAAACCTGTGTCGATGAACACTGGAAGTCTTTGAAGCTATGTGGAAAGAAACCTGCATAACCGTATTAGGAAGGAAGAAGAAAGAAGATAAGGAATGGATCTCGACAGACATATAGAAGCTGATAGAGCAGGGAGAGGTGCATAGTGAGCAGAAGATAAACCAGTACAAGGATGCTCAAAGAGAGGAGGAACTGAGTACAATGTATAGAACACTACACTGGACAAAGAAGTGAAGAAGAATGCACACAAAGACAAAAGACACTTGCATGACACACTGGCAAGTGAAGCAGAACAGGCTGCTGCTGGTAGACGCAGAGACAACAGCGGACATGCTCACACCACTATTGCAGAAAGTTTGGAAGGAAGGAAAGGTACCTGTCGATTGATTGCAAGAAGGGCTATCTTGTCAAAATACCAAATAAGGGAGACATATTCCTTTCAAGAACTGGCGAGGAATTATGCTGCTGTCCCCACCCACCCCAACCAAAATATTATGCTGCATCATCCTGAAGAGACTAAACAATGCGCTAGATTTAAAATTACGACCGGAACAGGCTGGCTGGATTCAGGAAGTACAAATCATGTGCGGATCAAATTGCAACGCTACACTAAGCATGCTTATAGAACGGAGCACAAAATGGCAGTCAATCGAATCTCTACTTCAACTTCATCAACTTTGAAAAGGACTTCGACAGCGTCGACCGACAAGTAATTTGATAGGCAATTGCTTCAACACTACGGAGTGCCACAAATATTTATCAATCTCATTCAACAACTATATGAAGACACCACATGCCAAGTAATTCACAATGGGAAGATCAGTGACGCCTTTGAAGTGAAGACAGGAAGGAGTAAGACAAGGCTACCTACTACCACCCATGATATTCCTGATTGTGGTCGACTGGATCATACAGCAAATCGTGAGGAGCGAGAAGATGGGCATACTCCGTTTGACCGATGAAAAGAGCCTAGAACATTTGGATTTCGCCGATGACTATTTGTGTCTAATGTCGCACAAACTCGAAGATCTACAGGCGGAAACCAACAAGTTTACAGAAGAGGCAGGGCAGCGAAGACGGGACTTCAAGTGAACGTAGAGAAGACAGGGGTGATGATGATAATACCACCCAACCAACGCCACCAACAACAACAAGCTCTAATCACCATCAACGGGAGAAACTTAAAGAAGTAGCCTCTTTCACCTATCTAGTCAGGCAGCACTGTTTCAACTACAGGCGATGGCACAGACGAGGACGTCAAAGCCAACCAGGATCGAAAGACAGCAAGACAGGCTTTTATTAACCTGAAATCAGTGTGGAGATCTTCTGCACTCAGTATAAACAACAAGATCCGGATTTTCAACACTAATTTAGTCAAGTCATTGCTTTTATATGGTTCAGAGACTTGGCGCGTTACGAAAGGGATTCCCTATAAACTATAGACATTCATCAACAACTGCCACCTACGCTGGCTCGTTACTGAAGCTCAGATCGGAAGGCCAGAAAGAATAAACAACAAGGAACTCTGGGGACGAACCAACCAGTAACCTATCGCCCAACAAATATGCAGTGGAATAAAATGGAGATGGATTGGGCATACACAGAGAAGGATGACTGGGGACATCATGCGCCAGGCCCTTGAGTGAAACCGGCATGGGAAACGACGGATTGGGTGTCTGAGTCGAGGATGACATGGAAGAGATCGTGTGATGAAGAAATGAGAGCTTGTGGGCAGTTGTTGAGCCAGGTTCAAAGGATTACTGGAGACGTGCTATTGAAGCCCTATGTTCCATTAGGAACCCAAGGGACAAATGATAATAATATAATCATAATAATAATAATATTTCACTTCCTAACTGGAGCTTGAAAACCACAAACTAGAGAAAAATCCTAACATCAACGAGGATGTTTTTATTAAAAATTTCACCTTTAGGCAGGTTGTGAAACGCAGTTATGCTTGTTACCAGCACCCGAAATTAGTTGTAGTTTCGATCTAAAGATGGCATTTGATTCTATTGTTCGGAATTTATTGTAGCCAATTGCCATCTCTAGAAAGCATTTCGAACAAATTTATTGTGCTAGTCAAAGCTATTTATGATTGTATATTCACTACCTTTGTTAGTTTAAATTTTTTTGCGCAAGTTATATTGCCTACTCCCTTTTGAATTGAATAATTGTAATTGTAACTATCTTTTCTCCTTTCCAGGGCGGTGGTGGGATTTCTTGCATTCTAGAGAATGGTGAAGTCTTTGAAAAGGCTGGTGTAAATATAAGCGTTATCACTGGGAATCTCAGCCCTATGGCTGCAAAAGAAATGCGTGCAAGGTACATGTCAACTGTTTTTCTCTGACTGTCTGTTCGTAATCGATTATAATTTCTCTGGTCTTCTCGATAAATGGGGAGATTGGTGATATCTCAATCGGTTTGTTTTCATATATAACCTTTGATTTATGAGTTCGGTTGGGTTAATGTGTATTCGTTAATAAGTCCTATGGAATTGCTTCATAAATCGCGTATCTAAAGAATTGCATAATATATTCAGCCTACCTGAACCTTGGACTACAGAACTTTTCCATAGAGTGTACTGCATCTGATTACTCCTTTCTGATTTTAATAATCATTCCAATATGTCCTCCAGGTTAAAAAGGCTGCAGAGAAGAGAGTGACGACATGCTGCTGAACCCCTATGTTCCACTAGGATGCCGAGGGACAAATAGGAATAATAATGAACCTCTAAATAAATATTTCAGTCCCCCAGGATTCATTTTTCTTTTTTTGTTCAAACTTTACTAAACATCCTACAGTTTTTATATTTTCTAAACTGATTGGATTTACAGATAACCATGTGTTTTTAGACTCAGTGTATTATTGTTTTCCATAGCATGACAGACTAAATATTTTACAGTGGAATTCAGACCGTGAATTTTCTCCTATTTGGGACTCGTCAGTTTGGTGTGTCTGCATTCCGGTGAGTGATATCGTTCCCACTGAACCTGGAACTCATGACCCATAGCACTAAGCACCAGAGCGCTGTCCACTAGTTTATTAAGTAAAGATAGCCACTTTCACTGTAACGAGTGTCGTTCGATGTTGTAGCCTGTAGTTTGTTGTTGTTGATTGGACTTAATTTACCGGCCACTGTTAGCATATCTAGGCCGCTGTGCTCATATCTCGATACAATAATATCCGGTTATAGCCTTATTAAACTTTGCCGAAATCACATGTTATCTGAGCTTATAATCTTCTTAAGCAAATATAAACTTACGTTTGGATTATTATTATTATTATTATTATTATTATTATTATTATTATTATTATTATTATTATAGACAAACTAGTCAATCTTGTCTCACTTTCTGCGTTTTCTCACTTTCTATAGGCACAAAGATATTGATCCTAATAAGGAATACAAATTTTTCGCTTGTGGCATTAGTTCAGTTATCCACCCAGTAAGTTTCATTCTGTTAGCGAATATTGGTTGGATACGGAGTGTTTGTTATAACAGTCGAATGATGGATTTGCCAGTCATGCGATTTACTGATCCACCTCTCATGCTAACTGCACATTGGTTCATCCCGTATGTAATTGCCTAGTCCTGGATACATAATTTCTCACTGGCAATTTGTCGCACGATTGGTTCCCCACATCTTGCCAAACATTATATTCTACACCTTTATTAACCATATTCCACAGCCATAGATTAGGACAGAGCAAAATGCTGCTCACGACACAACCATCTTTTATGCAATTGGATATATCAATGAAACCGTAAGTGGTGTAAGTTTCTGAAAGCCATTGAGGTCTTTTATATGCGTGCAAAGATTTCATCGGTTACTGGCGTACCAGAACTGATTCCACTTCCCAAGCAGGTGAATCAACCAATGCACCATTTCACTCATTAGTAATAGACAGAGCATGAACGCAGATCAGTTCCGCAGCAAAAATTAGCATTTAGGTGATGAGAACCGTGTCTCAAACATTCTCATGGTGTTACTCATGGTATTCAGAAGACTGCGTTTTGTCAACATATTCACCTAGCAGGATTATGTAATCCACGTACCTGACGTTTACCAACGGGATTACATTTTGGTTACTACTTGTGCGTAGCACAACCGACAGTTTGCGTATCTTGGTTTTTTGTGAGTAGTCAGAATTAAGAAACGAGAAGGGTTTGTGCCTTGAGTAATAGAAGCTACCTCCTGCTATCACTGGTTTATGAGTACTTGTTGGTTCACTGTTAGAGCTTTCTTTGTCTTGCATTGTCTTTAATCCATTCTGATGAATACACATGAAGTTCTTATCTTCTTGTTAATATGAAATAGACAAACAGGCTATCTAGAGAAGAATGCTTTATCACTGTTTTGTTCTCTCTGTCTCTCTCCTCACTTGGTCCTATTATGTGTCTGTGAAACAATGACCATTACAGGTAAAGGACATGAGAAGTCTTCTGGTGTTCGACCACCGTTGCCTTTTTGCGCAGGCGGTGTGTCATGTTCTCATCCCGTCAATAATTCAGAAGTCAGGTGTAGAGTTTTAGGGAGGAGCAGAAAGTCAGTTGATGACTTTGTAAACTTTGGTCGGTGTAGGGAAGTGTAGACTTGTGACTTAGCTGTCCGGGTGACTCTAGATGACGTAACTCAGCATTGATGTCACTGGCATAAATGTATCCGCACCCTATCCTCATGATATTGACTTGAGTACCCTCTTATTCTTTTTCCTTCTTCTTTTACTATTTTCTACTACCGTTGAGCGATTCTTTTTTATTTCTTCGTCTTATTGATTTGCTGCTTGATTTACCAATTTTACGTGATGATGATCTTTTTTACTATACAATACATATATATGCTTATCATTTGACTATCTGTGATAGTCGTGGTTTGGCAGACTTATTTGTCCTGAGTGATGATTGTAGATGAAATGGAGATTTGGGCTACTGCCGGATTCGAACCAGCGATCACCGGATTTCCTACCGGATGCCCTACCAGCTGAGCTAGGAGGTCCGACTGCTGGCCAGATTCGTATTTCACTTCAATCACCATGGGTTTTGCCCGACTATCACGTGAATTTGTGATGCGTTACCACCGCTTGGTCGTATTCACACTGGTTGCCTAGTCGGGACTTCTCATCCCAGTTGAAGTGAAATAGAAATCTGATCAGTAGTCGTCCTCATAGTTCAGTTGGTAGAGCATAGAACTGGAAATCCGGTAGTTGCTGGTTTGAATCTGGCCTCGGTCCAAATTTTCATTTCACCTTCAGTCATTATCCAGTATACATATATATGCTTTTTTTGTGTTAAGTTTTATTATTCCTATCACATTTTTCTTTGCATACACTTTTTCTATTATTTTAGCTTAATCCCTATGTGCCGACAACACACTTTAACTTTCGATATTTTGAAGTGGATTTAGGTAATAATCGTAAATCTTGGTGGTATGGGGGTGGTGCAGACTTGACACCTTATTACCTATTTGACGAAGATGCTAAACATTTCCATGAACAACTTAAATTAGCCTGTGATAAACATCATGAATCATTTTATCCACGTTTTAAAAAATGGTGTGATGATTATTTTTACTTAACACATAGAGGTATGTCCTTTATTCTTTGTATGCTTCAACATATTTTGTCTATTTTTTTGATTTACTGTGGTCGTTTAGCTAATCGGCTGCATATTATGTATCTGTCACCAACGGGTCAACGGTATCGTCTGTAAAACCGTAGCAGCTGTTTCGTTAGGTACAATCGTGACTCTCCTAATTTAGCCAAGTCTATCGTTATTTAATTAATGACGTGGTTATTTGAGATTGTTGGCTGAATTCCTAGCTAATGGCATACATTTAGTTATCTCTAATTGAATAGCCGGCTTGCCTGACGATTCTGGTGATCATGTCACTTCCAGTCATTGTCAAATGCCTGATCGATGGCGCACATTTAAGTCGTATTCCACATCTCAAGTGTTTTTAGGAGATGTGAGAGTGAGTTCAGCTGCAAGATGGTGAACATTCTCGTGGTTCTCGCTGTTAAATAGATATTAACCTGTAAACCAACTCACCGTCTAATTTTTCTATCCAGTGCTACAGTTCCGAAGTGAAGAAACCCAGTCAGGGTAGGTAATGGTGGAGCTAATATAGGTGTAAAACTTGGGCACTGTGGTAGAAATTAATTCCATATTAGATTTGTTTATTTGATTTATAACACACAGTGATCTAATATTATTTACTGTCCAGCATAAATTATTGCTCATAATCATATCAGTGTAATCACACTACTTTCGACATTTGATTTTTATAGTTACGTCACTTTATATGAGTTGTTTTTATTAGTAGCAAAATTTTCCATATCTCTGGTATAGGCGTTGCGTCATTCCTATTACATGTGTTGAGTGTTGATTCGATGAACAATGATTCAGTAATCAATCTCTCTCTCCCACCTAATTATATTAGACTTAAGTACAGTGGCTTTATCCCACCCTATTGTGTGGTTGTGTGTTAATGCATGCATAGCAATAGCCGAGTTTTTTTCTAGATTATTGATCTTATTTAGGTCTGTTATTCTATATTTAGCTGAATTCCTATGTTCGGCTATTCTAACTGACCCTGACTGACTGGTTTGACCTATATACTTGACCTCACAGTCATTACATGGTATTTGATAGATTAGATTATTTTGCTTAATTGGTTTTATCTGATCCTTAAGCCAGGCGACGAAGTTTATCTCTGAGTGAGTTTGTAGGTTTAAATGCCACCCTAATTCCAGCTCTGTTGAGGATTCTACGTAAAGTTTCTGAAGTACCCTCCTTTTAGGGTAATACAATGGAGGCTGTGAATTCTTTTATCGTGTTGTCGTTATTAGTCGAACTCGTGTGACTGTTATTTTTTCGTTTTTTGTGTGTCCGTAAGAATTTCTTAATAAACTGCGGAGGATAAGTATTAACTATTAGCGCTTCTTTTACGTGTTTCAATTCCTTGTTTAGGTTCTTGCTCTGACTAGTTAGTTTTCTAGCTCTATCATTTAAACATTTGACTAATCCTGCCTTAACTGACATTGGATGGGATGATTTGAGATCTAGAGTTAACCAGAAGTGCATAGACCCTCTGGGGTTCCTAATCGGCAAGCTCAGGGAATTTTTTACGGTGAAATGCTGTTTGATATATCATTAGCGGTGGGAGAGTTTGGGTCTCATGATGCAAGCGAGGCAGGGTGAAGGCTGTAGGATATATATCTACTATTTCCGCAGAGTGACGGGCTTTTAGGATCAAGTGCTTACCTGTGTCTCTGGTTATAGGTCGCAGGTTAGTGATGAGGTTCACTCCAGTAACTGCACCGGTGGTCGCTACCGAACTTTTAAGGCGACGAAGCTTTTATCATTCCTTCTGGCTGGCGAACGCATTTTAGAAAGCAATCATCGATTGGCTTCTGAATCCATTCCATTGTCTACTGCTACCACAGAGATAGTGAGGTCAGAAACGTCTGGGTGCTACCTCATTAATCGAGGTGAGGAGCGGTGTGAGATGTGGCTGGTCTTGGCATGATAACCCAAACTAAGCACTGCCTGCCGTTCCAGCCAAGGATGTTAACGTAGATACCCTGGACTTTGAGGGTCTCTCTGTTATTTAGAGTGCATGACCTGTTATGTTCACTGTTTTTGTGCGTATGCACGTAATTGGAAGCTAACCCATTGACAGATGACGTGAAAATAGGTAAGGCCTGGAAAACTGCAGCAGTTTCCCTAATTTTATTCACTGGCAAAAGTTTAAAGGAACAAAATCCAAGTCATTCAGGATTCCTTACTTACTCCATCTGAGTTATTCAACATTGAACACAATGTGATGAGATGGTGATTACCCATCTGTATTTCACTTGGTATATTTTAGTTGTACATATATTTATTTAAATATTTTTGTGCATCGTTTCAAGCGTTTTATTATTATCCTATATGCCAAGGCGAGACACGTGGTGTTGGCGGGATATTTTCGATGATTTAGAAGACAGTTCACAAGAGAAGATATTCAGTTTTGTAAAGGTAGGCTGTTTTCTGGACGTACAGTATTTTTTAAAATTTATTTAAAAAACCCTTTTTTAGTTAGTTTGGGGGGCTAGTTTGTGGGGATTATTAATTTTAAGTTGTTGTTCATATGTACTGACATCAGTAGTAGGAACATTGGAAACCTGAAAGCACTGGATGGCTGTTTTGTCCTAGTATGGGACTCCTCAGCAGTGCGTACCCGTGACCTCTGCCCTCCAGATTTCGGACCAAGGACCTTCAGGTTCCCTGACCAGCACGTTACCATTGAGCCAGCCACTGAGTCAGAATCCAGTGGTTCATATTTCCAACTTCTGTCAGTTCACGATATAGCGCGACCATCACTCAATGTCATCTTTGAGTATTTGTCCTCTTGGTCACCAGAGTTTTTATTATTTAGCTCCTTAAGTAATTTTAAAGGTGATCTGTTCATTTCTAGAGTTACTACTAGAAATCGAGGTTTCTTATTATTTCCATTTTAGTCTGTTTATTAGATGTATCATACAGTGAAACATTTCGGACATAATTTACTACCCATAATCATATCAGTTAACTCCATAACTTTGATACATGGTTTGTATAGTTATAGTCTTCTCTCCTTCTTTATGATAAGGGTAATAGGAATTTTCCATGTATTCATAACTGGGACCGGTGCAGAATCATTTGTATTGCATGTATTCGGTGTTGATTCGATAAACAAAGCTTCGGCTATAAATTTCTTCCTCCACTTAACGAAGTTGGTTCCGAATACTGTCGCCCTATCCCCACCGTATTGTATAATTGTGTGTAATCGGATGCATAGCTGTAGCTGAGTTTTTCTTTAAATTCTTTATCTTATTAGGATCTACCAATCTTGTTTAGCCAAGTCTCTGCATTCTGTTATTCTAATTAACTGTCGTCGACTACTTTAACCTATGCATTTAACCAAACTAAATTGTTTTGCCTAATTGAATGAATAGAATTTTTTTTAACCTACAAAGCTTATTTTCAAAAAGATTGCCTAGATCCAACTTCAACCTGCCTAAAATTTCGGCTCACTGTCAGATGTACTGGTGTGGTGCTTCTCTATTCCTCCTCCGATGTAACTACATAACCACAAACTAGACGATAACCTAAAAATAACTCATCGTTGTATATTATTGCTTATCATATCGTTATTATCAACATTGCTAAACTGCAATAGTTATTTAATTCAAAAATACTGTACAATCAGTAAATTTGTTGAAGTATCTCTCTGATAATTCTATATTGTATTAAAAATTATCGTCTGGAGTGAACTGGTTATTGTTTTTATGATTTTAATTCGCAGCGACTTTTTTTGGTTTAAATTCCCTCTAATCCGAACCTTATTGTGAATTCTTGTCAAGGCTTCTGGCGTACCTTTTTTGTATGGTAACACAGTGGAGTCTATGAATTCTTTCTCAGCCCTATCCCCACCATTACTATTATCAGTAGAATTATCATTATAAAAGCAACAATCTGAACGAAGAATATTCTTTTCAATGAATTCTCTTCAGGTTCTACAATCATAAAATGCATTTGTACAGCTCAAAAACAAGCCGTGTTATGGGCAGTTACATTTTCAAAATGGAGTCAGATCTAGGGACTATAAGGAAATCGGTTTATCTTTTTTAAATTAGTCAATGTTTGGATGATACATATACAGATGAATAATGTAATGATGAATAAGAAGATAACGAATAAGATGGCAGGAGTGGCCTTTCGTTTGCTGAAAGCCAAGGGACAAGTAACGCTTGGACATGTTCTTTCTAAATGCAGAGTCCAGACTTGTTCAATCTTATTGCGACAACCTTCGCTATGTTGAGGTGTTGGCTACACATGGTGTCACTTTTGGAACACGATGAATGACATTAAAAGTTTTAATAGCGTCTATGTGATGCCGTGTGTCGACTAGGTGCACTAGGACTGAACTTCTCACCACTTTCGCTTTACCCTTTCCGAACGAAGCTGGTAAATGCTCATATCCGAAGACGTACCTGCCCTGATCGTACGCTCTATGTCACTGGTTCCGCAGGAACAGTTAAACTGATGTATACAAGATGGGGAGCTTAGATAAGGTAGGCTATCCTTTAGTCCCGGATTGACCATTGGCCGACTACTGAATAATATACAAAGGCGACCTGCATAAAACATCCTATTAACTGCTCTAGCTAGGCGTTGTAATAGAATGTCATTTGCAACATCTCCCTTTAATTGTAAGGGCAGAAACAAAGGATTCTTCTTTACTGTCATTAGTTCTTGTTCAGGACCAATGTAGTTGATGTTAGCTTTGATGGACTTGTTCGGATATCTATTTCCACTTATAATATCACGTATACACAGTAGTCCTTTTTTTCACACACTCCTTGGAACAAATCTATCTTGTTTTAAATGTCAGGCACCTGATTATATTACGTTTGTACTTCATCGGTACGAAGCTGAGAAAGTGCTTATATTGTGCCTTAGGTGTTAGCTTTCTATGTATACTTCTCAGTATAGAGCCATCTTCTTTTCTTGTCATTAACACATCAAGAAAATGTATTAAGTCGTTGATTTCGTTTTCGGATGTAAAATGAATTGATGTGTTACTACTACTGCTACTACTCATATTTTTCCTTCGATTTCTTATGAATTTATTGATAAATTTAGGTGGGTAATTATTGAGACGCTATTATTATTATTATTATCAACATAGGACCAGGCATTACTGCGTAACGGTCCGAGTTGCCACACCTCATATCAGCAATTGAGACGCTAGGTATTTTTGATGTGTCAAATTTCTTGTCATAGATTTCCTGGCCTAATAATTAGCTTTTTTGCCTTATTACTTAGGCATTTAACCTAGCCTACATTAACTGATATAGGGTGAGATGCAATGTAGTTACCGGTTTGAATGGGAAAGGACCTGTAGAGAGACAGTCAAGGTTTATGCCGACACATTTGTTAATCAACAATACCTAAAGTCAAACTGTAATAAGGACGCGTAGAAGGTGAGGAAATTCTTGCAATTATGTGAAGTAGCACATAAGCACTATCAGTTTAAAAGCAGTATGTTCTTGCGTTACGCTGATAATGAGAAACCGTTTCATCACTTGAATGCAGGCGCATTCAGCTAATTGACTGACCAATCCCAAAAAGAAAGGAACAGATGTCCTGCATCCTAGTCACTTTCATATACTTTTGGAATGTCTAAATTTTTGATATTTTCACAACATACTCACTACTGACTTTCAGCGGGAACAAAACCGTACTCTTTCTATAAAAACAGAAGAATATATAGTGTAGATTATTATTATGTTCTTTTGGAATGAGTATAACATGTTAGTTGTATTAGTGACGTATGTTCTTCTTTCCTTGAAATAAAGGTAACATGAGGTATACACTACTGAATGTGAATTGAAGAAAATAATTTTACATATCTATGCATTTTTCTGCGGTTTTAATATGTTTCAAAAAGTGTGGTAGTGTGGTAGTTGTTGTGTTCAACAGTGTAATGAATTGTAAGCTGTTCTTTCTTTTTCGTTTTGTTGCTTGTATTATCCCGTCGTTGATTGGACCAAATTGATCGGTCTCTATTGGTATATGGGCTCCTGAGCGGACGACTGGATGTTTTCCATCGTTTCAATTTTAGAGTGATGATAGATAGTGACTAGCAGTGGAATGCAGAACGAACGTTTCGTCCTATTCGGGACTCATCAGCTGGATGGATCTACCTCCCAATAAGTGATGTTCTCACCAAAGCTTGAACCAGAGACCGATTACTTCAAATGCCAGAGCGCTATCTACTAGGCTACCGAGTGATGATAACCACTTCTTGTGCGGCGGGTATAGTCTTAATACTGTAGCTTGTATTATCACATCGTTGAGTGGACTGAAGTGTTCAGTCTCTTTTGGCATATGCGTTCTTGCACGGATGCCTCGATATTACCTATGTGTGAGGTATATATTGACATGGATTGAAGGCTAGTCAGGATGCGCGTTTCCCCTATTTGATGCTCGTCAGCAAGATGTATCTGCCTCCCAACGAGTGTTGTTGCCATTAAGACTGGAACTCGGGACCGACCACTTCAAACGCCAGAGCGTTGTGTGTTCGATCAGGGATTTAGGATAACCACTTCTTGTGCGTTGGGTATAGTTTTTTATGGTGTCCTGAATCTTATTGGTAGTCACTATCGATCATTACGAAATCTTTTCTTACGAAGCCTAGTTATAATTTCATATTTTCGATCTATGTTCATTTTTTTGTTTAGTCATGCGCTGAGGCTATAATTCCAGCCTATTACCAATTGTAGAAAAGCGGAAAAACTTAAAATACACTGATTCAGAACGGTAAATCCCTTTGTACCATATTTATTTTTGTTACATTTCGAGTTTAACACTTTACAGCATAAATAACGATGATGGTAATATTAACTTTATTCTGGAATAGTGTATACAATTTTGTATAGAAACAAAAGTCCACTGATGGAAAAGACAAGTGATGCTTGGTGTGTAGATATTTCTATATGTATCGTGACACTAGTAGTGTATGAAGCCAGACGATATAAAGCGGTTACAACTTTTGATCAAGATGTCTTTGTAGCATTGCTCGTGTTTGGTTGATTCACCATGTGAGCAACGTTGAGATCATGCGAAGGGTACTAGGCCAGATAGGTAAATCGATTAATGAGGTTATAAACCTTCATTGTGTGAGGTGGCTTGGACATGTACTGCGCATGCCGAGTCAACGCATACCTTGAACGCAGATGCATTGACGCTCTGGCGTATTCCAAAGCTGGAATATTCGCACTACCCTTTATCTTCAAATTGTTTATTATCTCATCCAACTTTATCTCCTTCCAATATCAGTCTTTTTTTATCCACCTGTTCTATGTTTGCTGCTGCGGTCTGTGGCAACTTAAAGTGATGCACTACTGTGCGAGGTTCTACATGCATTTTGTCTGTCTATATTTCATATTGATATTTAGCTGTTGATGAGTAGTGAAATGATTCATTATCGTAGTAAAATTCGAATACTGTTAACCCTGCTTATAAGATGATACTGTATGCGTAAATTGTTGTCTATGCATGGCCGTGGATAGGGGTATGACATGATATCGTTTTCTTCACTCAAGCAGTTAGTGTATTTGAATTGACTACACTGTTACTATCTCACTCACTGGAAATAAACCTGTTCATTTGATTTGCTGTATGGAGCCAGCGTACTGCAGACTTTTTTCATGCAGGAAATCATCAACTTTATCTTACAACATTTAATTTTTTCGGTTTCTAATAACTTTTAGTCTAGATAATGTAAGTACAAGATTTAGACACTATGACAGTGTAATTACTTATTAGAATAGTCTGTTTAGTAAATCATACAGTGATACAGTATTATTTATGTTATAGTTGTCGAAAAGATTGCCTCAGTTCGGATAAGAAATCCTAAATTGCTGAAACCTTTTACAACTAATCATATTGCTTCGATGCTTGAAGGAAGTAAACAAATGTATCAGATTGGTTGAAAAGACAAAAATCAATAGGATATTCTAATCTAATAAATGGTCGAGATCATCGCAAAGATATATGTAAACCGTTGTAATCCACCTGTTATCTTACTGCCTTTTTGTATCCACCATAAAAGTAAGAGACATGAGTGAAATATAAGGGTTATTGTTTAAGTATCCACTCTTATGTATGCATATCAATTTCCAGTGAATGTCATGAACTTTCTGCTCACAATAAGACTAGCAGATGTAAATTCTGGAAAGGATTTCGAGATTAGGCATGTATACAGACAACACTTTTCACTTAGCTTTCATATAACTATTTGCTTACGGATAGATGTATGCTGAAATAGCCGATATGCAAGTCAAATTAGGCAAGAAAGTGCCGATGACAAGTATTGCCTAACCGTTCGTTTATTCGTTCCTCCCGTAATTATTTCATTTCCTTTCTCTAGGGAATGGCAACTAGTTAGACGTGGACGTTATGTGGAATTCAATTTAATTTATGATCGTGGAACGAAATTTGGTTTAGCTACCCCAGAAGCTCGGATTGAAAGTATTTTAATGTCGTTACCACGTTTCGCTGTAAGCGCTGTTTAACCGTTTAAAAAAGATTTATTTCATTGTATTTACTGGCCTGCTAAACTGTTTATATGATGATATTGGCTTATATTATTAGCTTCTGTGATGACAAACAGGCCATGCAAAGTAATTGACCCACTGTGTTTGGTAGCCCCAGTTAATTGTAGTATTTGAAGCGATGAGTTTTAGATTTATGTGTCGTCCAGCTAACGAGTCCCAAACAGGACGAAATGCGTTTCTCAGCTTCTAATAACTAGCCACCAAATAGACTATAACATAATTCTAGTTCAGTCTAACAATCTTAATTCAAATAGTTCATGGTGCTATATACTTAAACCAATTATTATTATTTTTATTTGTCTTCTGGGTTCCTAGTGGAACATAAGGCTTCAGTAGCACGTCTCCATTCTACTCTGTTCTCTGCAATGTTTTGAACCTGACTCCACGACTGCCCAGAAGCTCTCATTTCTTCCTCATACAATCTCCTCCATGTCACCCTCGGACACCCAACTCCCCATTTCCCATCTGGGTTCCACTCGAGTGCCTGGCGCATGATGTCCCCAGTCATCCTTCTCTGTGTATGCCCAATCCATCTCCATTTTATTCCACTGCATATTTGTTGCGTGATAGGTTCTTGGTTGGTTCGTCCCCAGAGTTCCTTGTTGTTTATTCTTTCTGGCCTTCCGATCTGAGCTTCAGTAACGAGCCAGCGTAGGTGGCAGTTGTTGATGAATGTCTATAGTTTATTGGAAATCCCTTTCGTGACGCGCCAAGTCTCTAAACCATACGGAAGCACTGACTTGACGTTGGTGTTGAAAATCCGGATCTTGTTGTTTATACTGAGTGCAGAAGATCTCCACACTGATTTCAGGTTAATAAAAGCCTGTCTTGCTGTCTTTCCCATCCTGGTTGGCTTTGACGTCCTCGTCTGTGCCATCGCCTGTAGTTGAAACAGTGCTGCCTGACTAGATAGGTGAAAGAGGCTACTTCCTTTAAGTTTCTCCCGTTGATGGTGATTAGAGCTTGTTGTTGTTGGTGGCGTTGGTTGGGTATTATCATCATCACCCCTGTTTTCTCTACGTTCACTTGAAGTCCCGTCTTCGCTACCCTGCCTCTTCTGTCAACTTGTTGGTTTCCGCTTGTAGATCTTCGAGTTTGTGCGACATTAGACACAAATAGTCATCGGCGAAATCCAAATGTTCTAGGCTCTTTTCATCGGTCAAACGGAGTATGCCCATCTTCTCGCTCCTCACGATTTGCTGTATGATCCAGTCGACCACAATCAGGAATATCATGGGTGGTAGTAGGTAGCCTTGTCTTACTCCTTCCTGTCTTCACTTCAAAGGCATCACTGATCTTCCCATTGTGAATTACTTGGCATGTGGTGTCTTCATATAGTTGTTGAATGAGATTGATAAATATTTGTGGCACTCCGTAGTGTTGAAGCAATTGCCTATCAAATTACTTGTCGGTCGACGCTGTCGAAGTCCTTTTCAAAGTTGATGAAGTTGAAGTAGAGATTCGATTGACTGCCATTTTGTGCTCCGTTCTATAAGCATGCTTAGTGTAGCGTTGCAATTTGATCCGCACATGATTTGTACTTCCTGAATCCAGCCAGCCTGTTCCGGTCGTAATTTTAAATCTAGCGCATTGTTTAGTCTCTTCAGGATGATGCGGCATAATATTTTGGTTGGGGTGGGTGGGGACAGCAGCATAATTCCTCGCCAGTTCTTGAAAGGAATATGTCTCCCTTATTTGGTATTTTGACAAGATAGCCCTTCTTGCAATCAATCGACAGGTACCTTTCCTTCCTTCCAAACTTTCTGCAATAGTGGTGTGAGCATGTCCGCTGTTGTCTCTGCGTCTACCAGCAGCAGCCTGTTCTGCTTCACTTGCCAGTGTGTCATGCAAGTGTCTTTTGTCTTTGTGTGCATTCTTCTCCACTTCTTTGTCCAGTGTAGTGTTCTATGCAATGTACTCAGTTCCTCCTCTCTTTGAGCATCCTTGTACTGGTTTATCTTCTGCTTCACTATGCACCTCTCCCTGCTCTATCAGCTTCTATATGTCTGTCGAGATCCATTCCTTATCTTCTTTCTTCTTCCTTCCTAATACGGTTATGCAGGTTTCTTTCCATATAGCTTTCAAAGACTTCCAGTGTTCATCGACACAGGTTTCTTCAGGGATGTTGCTCGATATCTCCCATTTCGTCTTGATGGCTGACGTGAAGATTTTCTTTGTGGTTTCATCCTTCAGTTTCCGAGTGTTGAACTTGAACTGTGGTCTATCACCAGCTTCCTTGTAGGCTTCCAACTTGATTTGGAAGGTTCATTGCACTAGATAGTGAGTGGTGTGAACCTACATCCATTCCCCTTCTTGATCTGATCTTGTGTCCTGTGAGCTCGCTATGTCTCCACTTTCTTCACATTGAGATGAAGTCGGTGTGATTTTTAGTGTGTCGTGGTGTCTGGTGAAATCGAATCCGTGTCGCTCTGTGAATATCCTTGTGTTTGTACACACTGCCTCACCTCCAATCACTACATCATTGAATGCGTAGAAGTCTGCAAACAGCTCTCAATTCTCATTCATTTCACTGAGTGATTCTCGACCCATGATGAGTTCTCTTCCTGTATTGTCTGCTCCCAGTTTGACTTCCATAATACTCCACTCATTAGAATTTTGATGTCGCCATCTGGAGCGGAGTCTTGTCCAGTACTGTTTGCAGTTGTCTGTAGAATTCCTCCTTCTCTTCATCTGCATTATTTGTGAGGCGTAGCTTAGTATTGAATGATTGTGACTTTCCTTCCTTTTGAGTTGAACCTTGCTGTCATGATCTTGATCCTGCAGGAGGAGATTGGTTGGGGTCATCATGATAGCCACTTCAAACTGAATGTGTTCGTGGTTGTCGTTTGGGTGACAATATCGGAGTAGATTATTGACTCTCCAGTTAGGAGTTTGGAGATTCCATTTCCATTCCATTTGCTTCCGCAGATTCCAGTCACTTCCATGCCATACCTCCTCGTCTCCGTTGCAATCTGGGCAGGCTTGTTAGGTTCAAACATGGTGCGGACATTCCATGTCCCCATACTTACTTTCTCTTTCATCGAGATAAGAGAAGATACGTCGACCGACTGGCTTCCCGAAGGCTTTCACCAACTGGCGTCATTTCGTCTCTCCGATTGCAGCGAGGAATAAGTTTTTTTTAATGTTTTATATTTTCTTTGTGTTTTGAAGTTTCTGTAGCGGTTGGATTGGTTTTGCGGGTAGGATTGCTAGCCATATACCCAACCTTCCCTTTTTACCCAGGCTTAGGACCGGCTAGTAACCAGTGAAGTAGTTAACCAGGCGAGGTTAACTGGAACCAAGCTTATCAATAAATTCACCCCCGTGATCTTCTTTGGGACACAATATTTTATGCACAATTTACACTAGGTGGTGATTGAAGGTGAAGTGAAAATTTAGGCAACGGCGGAATTCAAACCGATGACCACCTGGTTTTCGGTCCTATGCACTATAAGCTAAGCTACGAGATTCGACTCCTGATCAGATTTTTATTTCACTTCATTCACCAACTTTCAACTGGCTGAGTATAATAAATTATACACGAGTCTTTTGAATTTACTGGGATTCTTTGAACCCTTTGACGCTGACACTTTATTGTTCACAGATCCATTGGTTTAGGAAGGTGACTGTCAACCAGTCGGTCAAGGGTTCGAGGCCCGCTCAGCCTACTGTGGTTTGCGTAGCCAGGCATGAGTGTGTTCAAGGTGACTGAGCGCAGTTCCTTTCGTGTTTTTCGTATTCTTCAATTAATGGTCACCTAATAATTCAATGACTTAAGGGCATGAAAATTTTTCCATATAAATCGACGAAAGTACGATTCGCACACTTAATTATCCTGCTGATGCTTAGTGAATATGGGATCAGAAGAGTCCCTAAACAACTTCAGTTCATGATGATATTGATCTTGATGACTAGCAGAGGAATCCAGGACGCGCATTTCGTCTTACTCGGGACTCGTCATCTGGGTCTACATGCACTCCGTTGAGTGTTGTTCCTACTGATGCTCAAACCCAGTACCCTTCGCTTCAAACGCAAAAGCGTTATCCACTAAGCCACTGCGGCACGATAGTCACCTCTTGTGCGACGAGTATCAGGTGTTGTAATTATATTTGTAATTTCCCGTTGCTATACAGAGCGGAATTGCTCGGCCTTTCTCAGCCGGTGGGCTCTTATGCAGATTCTTCGATACTACCCGAGGAATCCAGGACACACGTTTTATCCTACTTGGGACTTGTCAGCTGGATGGAACACGTATCCTGGATTCCTCTGCTAGTCACCAAGATCAATATAATATCATGAATCTCCGGCAGTATCCAGGCATTTGCAGAGCCCATGTGCCAACAGAGCTCCAGCAATCCGACTCCTCTATAGCAACGAGAAATTACAAATATCATAACTTATACCTTTAATCTTGTCTCATTGCTCTTTCACGTCACATTTGAGTTCCCGAGCACCTTATCATTTTACACAACCTATCCAAAATTAGTAATATATATGAAATCTTCACTATTCATCACAATTTCGACGACATAATGAGAATGATGATTCGTTTATCAACATTTTTTATAGTTGCTTGTTACAATATTTGACAAACCGTTATTGTTAATTATCAAATTGTAAGGGAAAATAAAATGTATATGTTTGCGATTGTACTACTTTAAGAATAAAATCACTGTAAATCGTTTCCTTTATCGATAGCTCATAACTTTCCGATTACGTCACCTGGCGAAACGTCTCTTCTGATTAATTAACGGTGGGTAGTGGCTAGCAGTGTAATCCAGGATGCATGTTACTTCTTACTTGGGGCTCGTCAGCTGAATGTACCTGTCTCTCAACGAGTGATAGTGTTCTCACTAAGATTCGAACTCCTTAATAACATTAACTTACTATATTCTTCATTCCTTCATTCCAATTCAGCAGTCAAGTTTGAGATTGGTAAGATATTCTTGATAAACTTGTGAAGGAAATGGATACATTTAGTCTCCTCAAGCTATGCAAGACTGAACTGAAGATCAAGTATCTAGGTGATTCTTTCTTTCTTGTATCAGATTCATTTAAAAACTCACTCCAATGGATAGTATCACTTATAACTGAACTGATATAACCTTAGTTACTAGTGGTATGTAAATGGACACTTGAACAGTAGCTTTCAGATTTTATTCTTGGATGGTCGCTCAGTTTCTCGGTGAATATGATAGACGGCGTAATACAGTGTTCAAATATGTACAAAAGATTAAACTTTACACATATATTTTCAATGGTTTTGACTATTTCTTGGTCTTTTGTAGAATGGCATATTTTAATGGCTTTTTGCTTCTCACATGTGGGTTCATATGTTTTTTCTTGAAGCATCTAAGCAACACGGTTGTGAAAAGAGATTCACAGATTTAGGGCTTATTTTACGAATCTAGACACATAATATCACAAAAACATTCAGGTATTTCAGTGAAAGAATCATGTTTTGTATGCTACCAAAGATTATCTTTTTATTGCAAGGGAAAATTGATCATCATTTGCATTTAGTCTGTTTACTTGTTCTTTGTAATTTTTTTCCCCTTGTCTTGTATGTATTCAGCAATGGACTTATTGTTACGATAATTCCAAAGATCCACGTAATCAGTCATTGATTGAAGTGCTGACGCATCCAAGAGAATGGGTTTAGTGTATAGAAAAGAAGGATAGCTTTATTATCTTGTACTTATATGATAACTGTTGTTCTGTAAAGTACTTCTATACTACGCATTTTTTATTATTTAGTTTACTGATTACTGTTTGTTTACTTTAGGGATTACTTTTTTTCAAATTGTATATAGTTTATACTTTTCATTGTATGCATATATACATGTTGTTCTGGAAGCGAGTTCACTTTTGTACTTAGTTGGTTAGTGATTATCATACATAGTTTGAGAATTTATGCTTTTCCATTTGTTGTTAGCGTTTTGTTATTCTGTTCACTTTCTGTATTGCATTGTCTGTTTTTCTTTGTGTATTTACTTAGTAAGAATTAGTTTGAGATTTTGAATCCTACTATCAATCCCTGTCACATGTATTGGTATGACGAGGGATAATGGGAGTGTGCTATTTTGGGGGCTGATCTTATCTAACCGCCCCCTCTTCCCCCATAGGGAAAATCAGTGTCAGCTTGGCACTGCGTCTCATCCAATGGGAACACCTGTCATACTTACTTCCAGCCAGTAGTACGACTTCGTCCTCAGACTCCTATTATAGCGTAGGGATTTACATTATAACAGTAACTGCTTTTCGTCTTAACACTTTCCAGCAGACCTTTCTGGCATAGTAGGACCTCGAAGGAACAATGTATCATCAGCATAGCTCCTTGGTTAACTGTGATATGCAAGCCCGATCACAACATCAAGGTGGCTGTTATCGGTCACCATCTTCCTTCCTCTCATTGCTTTCTACTGCTTTTGGCCTATTTTTTCCCTCATCTTTTGTCTCACTGCTTTGTTACTTGTGCTGATATGAGATGTGCCAACTTGGGTTGTTATACAGGAATGCCAGGTCCTAAGTGGATTTTATCTATGGTTGGCAGTTAAAACTAAGGAATACTGACAACTCTGTTGGGTGAACACTGGTGAAGACTTCAGTGTACTATCTGTGTCAGTAGGACTGTGGTTTCTTCTTAAGTATTCATTATTGAGTGATGTTGACTACCTGCCTAATGTAGTCACAAATTGCAATGAAACGCTCAGATGTATTTAAGTTTTGATGTACTTACATTTACAAATCATTCTAACGAACAGTAGGATACCTGTTTGATGAAAAAACCCAAGGAAGAATATCTTGTCCTGGTCGTGTCACCACAAGGTTGTATTACACATCTTGCTAACGTTTATTTCTGTACGAATTATATTCTGATGTGATCATCATATTATTTACTTTACGACTATAGAGATTATTTCATTTGTGTAAGAAATAGCAATGAAAGATTATTTACTTATACAGACAATGAATAACGTGATCAAGTATGATATTATTACTATTATTCCAGCAGTGAAGGTCAGTATAATACTGCGCACTTAGTAACCTTTCGCATATTCGTACAGTAGGCAATCAGTCACATCCAATGTGTGAGGGCTGATAATACTACTACCACAACTTTTCTGCTCAAAGCTCGCTAGGTGGGTCGGTCTTTGAAGCTGTGACGCATTGTTCCAGAGCCATATCTCTAAACCAAAGAGTTACAGCTCTACTAATGATAGAGAACTTAACTTTCAATAGATGAGAAAGTAATTTTAAGATATAGTCACTGTTCCTACTTAACTTCGTCATAGGCATACTAGTGGACATAACCTTAGGTACATCTGACTTCACAGCGGTTGAGGTCATGTGGCTGAGTTGGAGTACACAGACTACATTGTCCTGCTAAGTGAATATGCTGACAAAATACAGGGTCTTCTGAACGCGTTGGGCGGAAATCTGAGTACCTTTGTCATACGTCTCGCAGCTTTGAAATGTAACGTGATGTTCCGATAGTGGATTACAGCTACTTCAAATTTAATGATCGGGATTGATGTGGTGGAATGTGTCTACTACTACACGTATTTGAGGAGTTATATCAGTCGAAACGGACTGGTTGCTGACAAAATCTCTGCTCAGATACATAAAGCCCGTTTGGCATTTACCAACTTGTGGGGCTAGATGGCGAGATATGTGACTGTCTATCAAAGGACGACTTTACTGCACTGCAGTTCATTCTGTCGTGTTATACGGCTGTGAGATATGGCCGTTGAAAGTAGAAAATAAAAAGCAGTTGCCATGTTTTGATCACAGATGTTTTCGTAGCATTGGTCGCATTTAATGGAATCACTGTGTGAGCAGTGTTGAAGTCAGGTAGAGGGCACTAGTCAAGTCGGTCGACGGGGTTGTGAACCTTAGCCCACTGAGATTGCTTGTACGTATGCTGTGCAGGCTGAGCCACTGCCTACCTTGACGTGCTATGCTGCGGGAAGTTAGATTAGGAGGGGAAAGGGTTCAGGGTGGTGAGACGAAAACGTGGCACCAGTTTATGAAGCCTGTGACAGACAGTCAGTCGTGCGAGGAGATGTAAACTATCCAGTTGGGGTCTCTGAGACGAGGGGAATCAGTAGTTGAGGACCGTTGGTGATGTGGCTGAAAATCGGTCGCAATGGGGCGAATAGATTCACTCCTTGATATCTTCTAAAGCTTGAATATTCACACTGATTTTCATCTTCAAACTGTTCATTCTGTCACACAAGTTGGTTTATTTTGATATCACTTTTCTTATCCACCTGCTTTTATATGCTGCTGCGGACTGTGACAATTTGAAATGATTGACCTGTGTGAGAGGTTCTACGCTGAGTTTATCAGTCAATCATTGGGGAATATCTGCTTGTTTGTCGACAGTTAGCTTGCTTTTTTACTGATGAAATGGGTTTGTTGAATTGAAATATTTCAGCACTAACCTCCTAGTCAGCATAGTAGTTGAAGAGGTCATCTTGACCACTTTGTTATTTAAACAAAATGCTTATAATAAGACTCACCACATCGGTTATCTAGTGATTTTCTGTCTGAGCAATGCTGGGCAACAGGTGTTCGGTAAGGATTTACTAATTCATTTAAAACTTAACATAGTAGATAACCTTGAATTGCGATCTGGTTTTAGAATAATCGTAGTGTAGGCGTTCTGACTGTCAGTTCAGTATTCTGAATTGTGAGGCGTCACGATGTTAGACTAGACGAAGTGAAACTGTTGCTAACATGGGAATTCGACACATTAGTGTAGTATAAATGGATTACAGATAAAATATTATGAAATGTTTTAAACTCTGACTAACAGTGATCAGGTAGATACATTTGTTTGTGAATGTGTGCACGCATAAAGTAGAGTGTATTGCAAAGTAAGCTTAAGGATGAGACAATTGTATTCCGTATTTTGTTACAACTTCGCCCTTTATTTCACGTTCAGTCGTCACCTAACAATATCAGTCTACCATGTCACAGCTGTTTCTCATAGTCTCATTATTAAATTCGATATGCAGTTGTGAACCTGTATCGCTTGCAAAGGTAAAGTATGTTAAACATTTCCAACCACCGCTTACTGAAGCATATAATTTTTGTATCAGGAAGGAAGCTAAGATTAACCACATCGTCCATAGGGTGCTGATCTGGACAATACCATAGCTGAGTGAACATAGTAGTTTAAATATATGTTTAAGCGAGTTGTTAGACATGTATGAGTCGTTATGAGATTCTTAAATACATAGTACTACTTATTATTTCCTTCCATTCATGACCTTCACCTTATTTTCTAAAGTATCTCTCCGTTTATGTGTAAGATTTCACTTTTTACAGGTCAACTTGAACGGATGCACTTTTACACAAGGTTATGTAAAAATCAGTAATTCATAAAACACTGAGCTATAACTAGTTAACAACCACTTTAATAATGTCATCTAACTATCTGAGATAGCCGTTGTTTGGCAGACTAGTATTTATACTGGGTGGTGATTGAAGGTAAGATGATAATCTGGACCACGGCCGGATTCGAACCAGCGACCACCGGATTCCCTCCCCCCGTACTCTACCAACTGAGCTACAAGTGCGACTGCTGACCAGAAGTGAGGTAAGATTCTGGTCAGCAGTCGGACTTGTAGCTCAGTTGGTAGAGTACGGGGGGGGGAACCCGGTGGTCGCTGGTTCGAATCCGGCCGTGGTCCAGATTTTCATCTTACCTTCAATTATCACCCAGTACTTTAATAATAGTCCCTATATTCCAAACAACATCTACGATACAGTGTGGATATTTCAGCATGGAATGTTTCAACATATTCGCTTTCCGTACAGTAATTTCTAACGAAATGATTACGTCTGCATGGTGATAATAATAACAGTATTAAGGCATGAGTGTGAAACGGGCAGCTAGTGTTACATAAGCATCTGTTCTCGATTCGGAAATTAACGCAAAATCGAGTGCATTTTTGATGGTGGCAGTTCACTCAGACAGCCAGCACAAAAATTCAAAATCCCATACAAGGATTCTAGGAATAGTAATGTCATGTGTTTTTGAGCACTTACAAATCCATTTCTAACCGGCGAAACGTTTTTCCTTTGTTTTGTTTTTAGCTTGAGAAAGGAAAGTTAGAAAACATTTTAAAAATGTGCTAGAGCACATGGTGCGTTCTCAAGACATTTAAAAGATTTAAACTAGAAGAGGAAGAATTTGATGGGATATAATCGATGGAAAGTGTTTTGGCAGCCCAAGGTTTAAGCGTCCCGCCTATTTTTAGTATGTCAACATCGAAAATATAACAATACCTTTAATTGGTTTCTCAAAGGTTTTGCATCGCTACAATCTCTAGAATTAGGCCAAATCCTAGTACACACTTAGTGTTCTTTGAGCATGTTTTTACACAATGAACTGTTTAACTTAAAATCTTAACTTAAAATCACTATGACAACTGCTTTTTGTCGTACCACTATCCAGCAGACTTTTCTGGTATGGTAGAACTTCAAGAAACCATCGTTTTAAGCCGCACAACTCATTAGTATATTGTAACATGCTATCAGGATCACAACATCAAGGTAGAATCTATCGATGAGTACTTAAGTGAAGTGTAATTAATGAAAATTTAAACCATTGTAGCATGTATATATATATCCGAATACTCAACAGTAATTTTGACTGTGTACGTAAGCTATAAATGAGGGGAAAATTGATTCCTATCCAGGTTACCTTTCAAATATCAGTCACCTCTGTACTACTTCAAACTAGGTAGGTATTTTGTCGAAGGAGCAGATGCTCAGCTTACTTCCGGCATCACTATCGACGTCACTGAAATACCAGCACAAATGTCTGGGAAATTTATTTGAGTGATTCATCGGAAACTGAATGTGGCTTTTCGTCACGAACTGATGCTCTTAATTAGGAAAACATTGAAATTCAAGAAGTATTGAACAGATAATGTCATATTATCTTTAGAAGGTGTGCACAACAAACCCTCAATTGACCAATTGTCTAGTGTCAAACAATTTAGCATTATTCATCCCACGGGTAATATGCGTAAACATTCTGTTTACCAATTAAATTTACTTCAGTCAGTTAAACATTGTTGTTGTTCATCTGAACAGCTGGTCTTCCCTATCTTCTTAGCAAGTCAAATTCATATACCAGTGAAATGGCTAGATAACACTTAGAATCAGCTTTGGCAGCTGGAGTTGTCATTGAATCTGGTATGTACCATGTTTTCGTTTCATCACAAGGGTTCGATTTGTTCGTCATTGTTTTCCACCGAATTACAATCATCCAAATCAATATAGAGAGTTAATGACTAATGATTGAATGATAAATCAGTTGATGGTATTCCTAACACCTATGAAAATACATATATTGTAACAAAATGTAATTGCTTCGGTCTAGAGAATACAAAACATCCATTAAATCATGATGATTGTAAGCGGTAGTGATTGTGAAGATATCAATAAACATGATCCTAACATATGTCAATTACATATGGAGAATTATTTGAAAAGACATCCTTGGCGTTGTCTATAAGATTACTATTCTATGTATGCAGTAAAATTCACTCTAGATGGTAAAAGTATTTTGGCTGGTTCGGCAAACAAAAGCATTCGAGTAAGTTGGAAGATAGCCTATTGGTTCGCAGGAGTATTCAGTTCCGTATTAGATTTGTTTATTTGATATATACTGGGTGATGATTGAAGGTGAAATGAAAAATTGGATCGCTGCCAGACTTGAACTAGCGACCACCGCATTTCCGACCCGATGCTCTACTAACTGAGGTATGAGGTCCAACTGCTGACCAGATTTTTGTTTCACTTCATTCACCAAGGATTTTGCCCGATTACCATGTGAATTCGTGATGCGTTACTACCGCTCGATCGTATGTAAAGTTTCTGATATTCCTACCTTATATTGGCAAAACAACGTAGGATTCTCAAGGAGGCTGGAATTAGGGTGGCATTTAAAACGTACAAACTTACTGAGAGATGAGCTTTGTCAGCTTAATGATCACATGGAACCAATTCAGAAAAATAATCTAATTTATCAAACTCCATGTAATGACTGTGAGTCAGGTCAAGTACATAAGCCAAACTGGTCGGTCGGGGTTAGATTAGTTGAACATAGGAATTCAGCTAAATATAGAATGACAAACCCCAATAAGATCAATGATATAGAGAATTTTTCGGCTATGGCAATGCATGGATTAACATACAACCACATAGTAGGGTAGGATAAAACCACTGTACTTAAGTGCAATATATTTGGGTGGAGAGATTGATTACTGAAGCTTTGTTCATGGAATCGATACCCAGTCAACACATGTAATGGAAATGACGCAGCAACTATACCAGAGATATGGAAAACTATACTACCAAGTTATTTTCAATTTAAGAAATAATTCCTGCTAATATCATTATTATCAGGCTGTATAGTTACATTTCTGATTGGTTGGAGGATAGATAGTGGCACTAAAACTGAGATGTACACCGCTGAATTCGTCATTGATGTTTATTTTAACAACTAGGAGTTAGGTGATTGAACGCGTTAACCACTCCACTTACTTTGCAAGTTAGATTAGCCTAGGTGGATAACTGACCGGTAAAATCTCTGGATGGATGCAGAAAACTCTTTTGGTCTCTACTAACCTACGCCATCTATACTGTGGGTTTGATATCCCGTTACTGCACTGTAGTTCATTCTGTTTTACTGTTTGTTCGTAAAACGTGGCCATTAAAGGTAGAGGACATCAAAAGGTTTCAATTGTTTGACCACCATTATTTTCGTAGCACAACTGATGCATCATATTAACCCCCACGTGGATAGTGCGTAGGTTAGGCATAGTTTTAAGTCAAAGTAAGTCACTTTGTGAGATTTTTGAACCCTCATCGACTGACGTGGATGGGATATACGTTAATCATGCCTAATCACCGTTTGCCCAGTTGCGCATTGTTAGATGAAGTAATTTTAAGCAGGAAAAAGGTAAGACGTGTTCAAACTGAAACATACCATCAGTCTGTTGACTCATTAACTATTCTACTGAGTCGTATAGGCTAGTGTAAACACGTCAGTTGGCATCTATGCGGCAGATGCAATCGGTGATCGAAGACTCCAGATACTGTGACCGACAATAGGTTTCAGTGTCAGAGATTCATCATAATGATATTAATATTGATGGCACATTTCAGTGTCCCTGTTCCCCTTCCCCCTGTTGTTTTATGACCTAAAACTTGAAAATGTGCTGATATAAAATGTGGCGACTTGGAGAGTAATAAGAAGCCCCATGACCATTCTGACTTGACTGATTCCCCATTGCCAAAATTCATGTCTCATCAGTCGAGTTTATCTTACAAAGCGTAAGTATAATGAATGTGAACGAGTTAGAATTAATCCATTTAGAAACTGCATGTGCACGTGCAGTATATATGTGTGTTCTATAATTCAATTTTGCCAGACTTTATATTTCTTTAGTATTATTTTCATGGAATCTTGTTCTTCGGGTAGTAATAATAATAATACTGGTTATAATAATAATTTAGGTGATTGAAACATCCAATGGTGTACAATATATATTACCTAGACCATCTAAATGGGCATTAGGGATGCCTGTTACATCGATTCGATTTATCCCAACCAAATGTGAATGGGCTATTGAGTGTAATTCACAGGGTGAAGTATTCACCTTTAAACCAGATTTGGAAGGTTTCGAAACATTATTTAAAGGTAATATTTTTATTAATTGGTTTTGTTTATTTTGTTTTACTCATTTTCATTTGAACTGATTGCCATGACCTTATTAATGCAGAATAAATGTTCAACGACTGATTCAGTATTTTAAAGAGATTTTTTATGCGACAAAACAAGACCATCGTCGTATGAAGAAAAGAATAGATAATTCCGTGTAGAAAATTCTCCTTTCCGACGATTTCATTTCCTAAAGCTGTACAATCGTACGACAAACGTATTATTATTATTTTTATTATTAGTCCCTTGGGTTCCTAATGGAACATAGGGCTTCAGTAGCACGTCTCTAGTGAACTCTGTTCTCTGAAATCTTTTGAACCTGACTCCACTACAGCCCACAAGCTCTCATTTCCTCCTCGCACGATCTCCTCCATGTCACCCTCACTTCGGACGACCAATTTGTCGCTTCCCATGCGGATTCCACTCGAGTAACTGGCCTGACGCGTGATGTCCCAGTCATCCTTCTCTGTGTATGTCCAATCCATCTCCACTTCTTTCTGCATATTTGTTGAGCGATAGGTTCTTGGTTGGTTCGTTGCCAGCCAGAGTTCCTTGTTGCTTATTCTTTCTGGCCTTAAGATCTGAGCTTCAGTAACGAGCCAGCGTAGGTGGCAGTTGTTGATGAATGTCTATAGTTTATTGGAAATCCCTTTCGTAACGCGCCAAGTCTCTAAACCATACGGAAGCACTGACTTGACGTTGGTGTTGAAAATCTGGATCTTGTTGTTTATACTGAGTGCAGAAGATCTCCACACTGGTTTCAGACTAATGAACGCCTGTTTTGCTTTTCCGATTCTGACTTTGACATCCTCGTCTGTGCCACCTGTAGTTGAAACAGGGCTGCCTAGGTAGGTGAAAGAGGTTACTTCCTTTAAGTTCCTCCCGATAATGGTGACTGGAGTTTGTTGTTGTTGTTGTTGGTTGGGTATCTTCATCACTTCTGTCTTCTCTATATTCACCTGAAGTCCCGTCTTCGCTGCCCTGCCTCTTCTGTCAACTTGTTAGTTTTGCCTGCAGATCTTCAAGTTTATGTGACATCAGGCACAAGTCGTCGGCGAAATCCAGATCTTCTAGGTACTTTTCCGCAGTCCAGCCAGCGTATCCTCCTCTTCTCGCTCCCCACTGCTTGCTGCATGATCCAGTCGACCACAATCACGAATATCATGGGGGATAGTAGGCAACCTTGTTTCACCCCTGTTTTCATTTAAGAAGCATCACTGAGCTTCCCATTGTGAATTACTTGGCATGTAGCATCTTCATATAGTTGTTGAATGAGGTTGATAAATGTTTGTGGTATTCCGTGGTATTAAAGCAGTTTCCAAATTACCTCTCGGTCGACGCTGTCAAAGGCCTTTTCAAAGTCGATAAAGTTAAGCTAGAGAGTTGACTGCCACTCTATACTCTGTCCTATGATGATGCGAAGCGTTGCAATTGGGTCCGCACATGATTTGTACTTCCTGAATCCAGCCAGCCTGTTCCGGTCGTAGTTTTGAATCCAGCGCATGCTTTCGACTCTCGAGGATGATGTGGCTTAATATTTTGCTTACATTGGGTGGATAGGAGAGTGATTCCTCGCCAGTTCTTGCAAACATTGAGGTCTCCCTTCTTCGGCAGTTTGACAAGGTAGCCCTTCTTGCAATCAATCGACAGGTACCTTTCCTTCCTTCCAAACTTTCTGCAATAGTGGTGTGAGCGTGTCCACTGTTGTCTCTGCGTCTGTTTTCAGTGCTTCTGGCAGAGTTCCATCTAGTCGTGCTCTTTCCGGCATTTCATTAGCCTTACGGCGTTCAGGACTTCCATTTTTGTTGGAAGATTTATGTCCACTTGTAGTTCAGCGGCTGTAGGTGGTATTTCTGGACGAAGTGCAGGTGGTGGTCGATTCAAGAGCTTCTTGAAGTGGTCGGTTTATTGTTTCCTTTGGTTCTCCTCTTTGGGAATTAAAATTCCGTCATCATCTCTTATTGGTTTCGTCTGCGTTGATCTCTTCCCATATAGCAACCTGGTTATTTGATACAACGTTGTCAGGTCTCTCCTACCAGCAGCAGCTTGTTCTGCTTCACTTGCCAGTGTGTCGTAGAAGTGTCTATTGTCTTTGCGTGCATTCTTCTTCACTTCTTTGTCCAGTGTAGTGTTCTATGCAATGTACTCAGTTCCTCCTCTCTTTGAGCATCCTTGTACTGGTTTATCTTCTGCTTCACTATGCACCTCTCCCTGCTCTATCAGTTTCTATATGTCTGTCGAGATCCATTCCTTATCTTCTTTCTTCTTCCTTCTTGATAGGGTTATTCAGGTTTCTTTCCACATCTCTTTCAAAGAGTTCCAGTGTTCTTCCACGCAGGCTTCTTCAGGGATGTTGCTGGATATCTCCCATTTTGTTTTGATGGTTGCCGTGAAGATGTTCCTTGTAGTTTCATCCTTCAGTTTCTGTTCTGAGTGTTGTACTTGAACTGCGGTCTATCACCAGCTTCCTTGTAGGCTTCCAACTTGATTTGGAAGGTTCATTGCACTAGACAGTGAGTGGTCTGAACCTACATCTGCTCCTCTTCTTGACCTTGTGTCAAGTAGACTGCGTCTCAACTTTCTTGAGATTGAGATAAAGTCGATTTGATTTTTAGTGTGTCCATCTGGTGAAATCAACTCCATGTCGCTTTGTGGATATCCTTGTGCTTGAACACACTGCCTCCAATCACCAAATCGTTTATTGCACAGAATTCTGCAAACAATTCTCCATTCTCTTTCATCACCACCGAGCGCTTCTCGACCCTTGGTTAGTTCTCTTCCTATGTTGTCCCCTCCCAGTTTGGCATTCATGTTGTCCATTAGAATTTTGATGTCGCCAACTTGAGTGGTATCTTGTCTAGTACTGTTTGCAGTTGTCTGTAGAATTCCTCCTTCTTCTCTTCATCTGCATTATTTGTAGGTGCATAGCCAGGCATTGTATGATTGTGACCTTCCTTCCTTTTGAGTTGAATCTTGCTGTCATGATCCTGATACTGGAGGAGATTTGTTCCCACTGCATGAGGGACAGCCTTCGATGTTCTTGGGGACATCATGATAGCCACTCGAAAACTCAATGTGTTCGTGGTTGTCGTTTGGGTGACAATATCGGAGTAGATTATTGACTCTCCGGTTAGGAGTTTGGAGATTCCATTTCCATTCCATTTGCTTCCGCAGATTCCAGTCACTTCCATGCCATACCTCCTCGTCTCCATTGCAATCTGGGCAGCCTTGTTAGGTTCATACATGGTGCGGACATTCCATGTCCCCATACTTACTTTCTCTTTCATCGAGATAAGAGAAGACATATCGGCCGACTGGCTTCCCGAAGGCTTTCACCAACTGGCGTCATTTCGTCTCTCCGATTGCAGCGAGGAATAAGTTTTTTTAATGTTTTATATTTTCTTTGTGTTTTGAAGTTTCTGTAGCGGTTGGATTGGTTTTGCGGGGTAGGATTGCTAGCCATATACCCAACCTTCCCTTTTTACCCAGGCTTAGGACCGGCTAATAACCAGTGAAGTAGTTAACCAGGCGAGGTTATGACAAACATATTACAGTCTACTATTAATAATAGAGTACATTTCCATCATTAGGCTAGTGCTAAAAAATTAACATCAAGAGTGAAAAGTAGTAGCGTAATAATCCCAGAGACAATGGAAATAATGAGAAAGGCAAGAAGTTCGACAGGGTGAAAATTCTTATTAGATATGAAGTATGAAATGGTTGGACATCCACTTGATAGATATGTAAAGAAGATGAAGCAAGAAACAATGTTTATAATGAAGAAGTGATAATAGTAAACTGTCTAATTATAATAAAATCGAGAAAGTTGGGGAAGTGTTCAGACCATAGTAGGATAAGAGATTCAGTACACTTCTAAACACAGAGATCAAGCTTGAATTGGTGAATTGCCAGCACTTTTGTTGTGCACAGCTGTCGAAAGCGAATTCATTTTTAACTATCCCATTTAATTCCGTAAATGACAGTGAAGGAGGCATATGTCCAGAGTTGACCAAACATACAAGAATATGGGAGTAAAACTCGAGCACTATAGTCGACTGTAATTCCATTTTAGTGTGTTTATTAGAAATGTCACACAGTGAAACAGTATCATTTACTGGATAACGTTTCGAACACAATTTATTGTCTACTTTCATATCAGGTAACTCCCCAACTTTGAGACAGTTTATATAGTCTTAATTTTCTCTCCTTCTTTGTGATGACAAGGGTAGTAGAATTTTCCATATATCTGGGACAGGTGTTGAATCATTTCTGTTACAGCGTCTATTTGGTGTTGACTAGATAAACAAAGATATGGTTATCAATCTCTACCTCCACCCAACTAACGTAGGTAAGGTTGGGGCAGAATCAAGAGTTTGTTTGCTATTTTCAGAATCGAGTTATAAATTCAGTTATCCACACTTTGAATTCGCTAGAACTAGTACATCAGAATGATAAAAGAAGAACGAGGATTGCAGTTGTAATACGTATATTTCAGGGAACCTTAAGTGATAGGGCGGAAAAGCTCACTAGTAGACCAGAAAATCTATGACAAGAAATTAGACACATCAAGAATACCTAGCGTCTCAATAATTACCCACCTAAATTTATAAATAAATTCATAAAAAATCGAAAGAAAAGTATTAGCAGAAGTAGTAGTGGTTATACAGGTGTTATTAATAATATTTCTGCTACTAATCGTAATAATGGTGACAGGGTTGAGATAGAATTCAAAGCCTCTGCTGTGTTACCATACAAGGAAGGTACCTCAGAAGCATTAAGAAGAATTCTGAATAGGGCCAGCTGGGATTAAAGGGGCATTTAAACCAAAGAACTGGCTTAGAAACAAGCTTTGTAAGTTAAACGATCCTATCAATGCAATTAGGCAAAATAATCTGGTTTACCAAATCCCTTTTAATCATTGCGAGGTCGAATGCATAGGTCAAAGTAGTCGATCAGGGTTGGTTAGAATAACAGAGCAC